ACAGATATATTTATTTCGCATTTTGTCACAAAGTGAAAAGCCACTCATCCGCCTGATCATTCTCATCTCGACAACACTTAACTTAGTATTATGCTTCTCTTTTAAAGGCCAACATTCAGCGCCATGGAGCACTGCAGGTCTCACCACCGCCTTATAAAATTTTCCGTTCAGTCTAAGTGATAATTTTCTATCACACAAAAGGCCCGAAGCATTCCTCCACTTCAACCAACAAACTTGAATACTTGAATTCTACTATTAACATCCCCATCTATATCACCCTCGCTTTGAAAAACTGACCCGAGATATTTAAATCCTTTAGGGTTTTAGGATATGTGGTACTTTTCTATCGCTTTTAAAGGCCAACATGCAGCGCCATAGAGCATTGCAGGTCTCACCACCGTCTTTTAAAATTTTCCTTTTAGTCTAAGTGGTACTTTTCTATCACACAAAAGGCCCGAAGCATTCCTCCACTTCCACCAACCAACTTGAAGTCTACTATTAACATCCTCATCTATATCATCATCGCTTTGAACAACTGACCCGAGATATCTAAATCGTTTAAGGTTTTAGGATATGTGGTACTTTTCTATCGCTTTGAACAACCAACTTGAATTTTACTATTAACATCACCATCTATATCACCATCGCTTTTGAGTTTATGAATATTATAAGAAAATACACTTATGTGCTGTAGGATCATTTGTAATGCGATTGCATGCTTTGCTGCTTTGTTAATAAAGACATGGTTAAGCCCTATCCTATCTCTTTAATGTTTTAGGATATGTGGTAGTGATTCATTTTTAAAACTGGTGTCAAAGGTTGTGGATTTGAATGTGTAATGATATGAGATTGTTGAATATGGAAGTAATCATATAGGTAAGTTTTTTCCCTGAACTTGTGGTGCTCATGCTTATTTGGACTGAGTCAGACATGAGAAGTTGGGTTGGTGAACCTGAGTTAAATAGTTATACACGTAAATTTGTCCTTCAATTTGCTCGCATGAACTAACACCAGAACACAAACTTCTCTCTCTCTAAAGATCAGTCGAAGTTACCTCTCTAGAAAAGTAGGCTGTTTATTTATAGAATTGAACTTCTACTACCATTTAGTATGTACTTGTTGAAAATTGAAGTAATCATTGATTCTTGACAGCATAAGTGTCAAGCTTATTCCTAACGTAAGAGTGCATTTGAATATAACTCACAAATGGATGCCTTAGGTTAAAAATTTAAGGAAGAAGGAATAATGCAAAAATTTGACAATATCCTCATACGAGTTTGATAGGCAATGATATAAGTATGCATTTAATTTATAAGGAATACACTAGTCATGAGATCCTCATACTAAAAAGTTTGGGAATATGCATGATAAAGCATGAAGCGCTGTCTTAAAGGATTAGGATTTTCAATTTATTTGCCTCACCTTGTTTTTAAAGATCCAAGTTGAAATTTAAAAACGTGCTAAGGGGGTAGAAATGTGTGGGTGAAGAATCTAGTGCCGTGTAAATTTAATAAATCGACTTTAAAAAAGTATAAAAAAAACTTACAAATTAGGTAACCTTTTTGAAAGTGCAAGGATTTATTGTAATTTGCTAAAGAAGATGAACTAAAGAAGATTATGAATTCCAATGTATGTGATTGGCCAAACAAAAGGAAGACAGTTGCAAAATTTTCAAAAATCAAACTTCTAAAGCAATATTGAACATACTTGGGGTTTAAAATGTGTCAGAATCGATAGATCAAAATCCATCAACATTATATGTCCATTTTCCTGGAGTAGTATATTCTCAGGCTTTAAATCGCGATATATTATTCCTGTATCGGACAAAGGTAAATGTTACTTAGAGAAAATAATTGTTATTGGAAAAATGAATTTGAAGATTCAAAATAGCATAAGTAAACATTCATTCCTATTCAATTTATGAGCATGAATATTTAAAATAACATATCTAAAGATTTCCTCTTCAACTTTCAAGAAAAGTGTATGCTGGCCTAGCAAAGTAGAGGTCTGGAAATTCTTATAAACAAAATGTGAAGAATGGTGGATTTGCATTAGCCAATAATAGCAACATTATTGCGACAACTACATATCAACGTCATTTATTTTTCAATTATTCCATTGCAATCACTGAAGCTAGGTATGCATAATTCAAAATTTCTTGACATAAATTCATTCAAATTAGAATTAGCTAGAAAGGTGGCAATAAGTAGTAAGTCTATGCATATGGCTTCATCATTGCAAGTTTCTTATCTGTTTATCCATAGCTTTCAATTAAGCTTGGAGTAACATCGATTAGGTTTTGCTGTGTAAGTTGATTAGAAATTGCTAGTCAATTCTGCTGTCGAAAGAACAAAGAGCAGCAATCACTGAAGCTAGGTATGCATAATTCGAAATTTCGTGACATAAATTTATTCAAATTAGAATTAGCTAGAAAGGTGGCAATATGTAGTAAGTCTATGCACATGGCTTCATCATTGCAAGTTTCTTATCTTTTTATCCATAGCTTTCACTTAAGCTTGGAGTAACATCAATTAGGTTTTGCTAAATAAGTTGATTAGAATTTGCTTGTCAATTCTGCTGTAGAAAGAACAAAGAGCATCAGTTAAAAGAAAGCGCAAGCATACCTGCTGGTGTTGTCCCACCATTTATGGTCACTTCTTTTCGTGCTTATGAAGGTTTCCCAACTTTATTATGTGGCTTTATATTTCAAAACTTTGGATTACCAGTTTGAGGTTTAATTTAAAGGTCATGCGAGCCGACATTTTTAGGGAATCTTTCATGCAGTATTGGAGCTGAACTAAAATAAAAGAAAGAACACAACCATAAATCTGTATCTGACATCTCTTTCTGGACAGAAAAAAACATATCGTGCGATCTGTGCGATCTATTCGTTGCGCTTATTCATTCCAGAAATATTAAAGGGGAAGACAAAGATGGAACTGCTGCGGCATTCAGAATAATATGAATCTCTTCGAATTAAAAAAATGATACCTAGACAATGAAGGTATTCCAGGCCAACAATAACTTCAGCAGCATAAAACCTGGAACAGGTTAGAACAAATTCAACTTTTAAGTAACTTTGATTTAAATTATGTGAAAATTTTATGAAAACATGTCTCACAGCTTTGTGGATTTTCTTATTGTGGAATTGAATACTCTTTTTTTTTTCCTCCTTTCCTTTTTATTTGGCATGAGAATTAAATTACTTAGTGTCAGTTTAGTCAAAGCTCATATACGTTTGGAAAATCAGAGCTAACGGATTAAACATTATTAAGCATAGAAATGCAGTATGGTGTGAACTTAAGTTGAAATAAAACCTCTTTTCTTTATGAACTTTTGGAGGAGCCCAATTGAGATTTTGCAGTTTGATTCGTACATGATTATCTTACATTGGGATTTACTAACTATTTGTTGTTGTGAAAAATATGGTAGGCCATTCAGTAACCTAGTGGCTGGAAAATAAAATAAATCTTCTTTTTGGCCGACAAATTAAATTAAAATTCTTCAAGCCTTTGTTATGCCGGCGTCTAAGAGCAATTTAGCTTTTTATTAGTTATTATTTTTGGGGTATAAATGGGGCTTACTATGGTTAGGGTTAGGGCATGCTATGAGATTGTTGTCTTGCGTCTTAGGGTTGTTTTGGGAGAGATCACTTACCTCTCAAATTATATGTGCTTATCTTTTATGTATTCGGATTGTGTTGTTTTGCGTTATTGAAGAAAAGATTTGTTTTCCTTAATTTCTGTGAAAAACTTGTCTGATTCATATCAAATTGGCATTGAAGTTTGATTTCTAGGATACCAATTACTGGAGCACAGCTTAGAGGCGATCTGGGAAGCAACGATCAGATCACAGGTCATTTGGGAAGCAATGACCGGATCGCGGTTTGTGGAATCTCGCGATTCAAAGCAGGGTTCACTGATATAGTTGCGATAGCTAACGACGGGATCGAGTGACTGAACCTCATGATACATCCAACTACATGATCAAGGCATACCATCGTGATCGCACCTCGTGAGACGACACGATTCGAACTAGTTGGAAATCAACAACGGGATCACGACCGACAGGGTGTGCGTTGGTGAACCAACTGTGCGAAACAATCTTCATTCGAGTTAACTGGGAAGCCAACAATGGTATCCCGACATATAACAGCTCCCCTAATCGAACCTCGTGATACCATCACGATTTGAGATAGTTGGGAAGCCAACGACGGGATTGCGGCATAAAGGAGTTTCAAATCCTTCATAGGAGTAATGTCAGCCAAAAAAATAGAGGCTCTAGAGGAGAAATTAGAGTGAGAAGTGAGCAAAATCAGATAAAAAATATAGGAGCGTTTTTTGTTCATAGAGGAATGACTCTGGTCCATGGAGGGGAGATTCACAACCTTGGAAGAAATGATGAGGAAGAGCTTGTAGTTTCACACAAACCCGCCTCAATACACCGTGAAATCGAGCGATGGCGTGGGGGGCGACCACATACTACAATAAAAGAATTAGTGCGACATTTGTGTAGTGTCGTTGCTTTAGGCGAATTTCAAGTCCCGAGATCGTTCTAAGGAATTGGAATCGGACTCGAGCAATTGCACTTGGAAGGAATAATGTGACATACAGAAGACTGGAACGAGTGCATGCTGGTGGGATTTTTCGAAGGAGTCGGGAGTGGATTCGAGCTGCAACGTCTAGATAAAGTTGCGCGACAGGCGAAACATGACGAATTACGATTTGGGTCTGGAGAAGATCGATTCGAAAGATTTTATCCTGGAACAGGGAATCATGGTGAGTGAGACCCCGATGGAGGGTTGCATCCAACTGTATCATTGCCTTTTGTTGTTGTAACCTTCCAGGGGGAAGGTAATTCAGAAGTAATGGTGTGAACATGATGGGTGAAATAGAGCAGGAGAGGGTGTGAGGGACTGATTTTGACACTACAGAGTGTTCGGAAGGGAGACAAGATGGGGGTGCTTTGCGGTTACCCCAGTTTGTGCAAGACTTTGGTAAAGCTCAAGATCATGGTGACGGCAATTCAAGATGCAGGGCTGGGTTTCTGGATCAAGTTGTATTGCATGGAAGAGAGCCGTAATACGAAGTTAGCAGAGATTACGACTATCAATGAGCTATTGAAGGAGTTGTTTGGGACTGCGATATCTTGAAATCATGGTACCAATAGGTTCAGATGTGGCGAAGGATGTGTACGTTTGCATTTCAAACTCATGAATGTCACTACTAATTTCTGATTAAATGAAAATGATTGTCAGATAAAGATGCCACATGGGAGTCAAACAACTTGATTCAACAATAATTTTTTTTCCCAGATTGAGGACAATGTGTCTTTTTTGCGAGGGAAGTGTTGTTGCGCCGACACTTAAGGAAAATTTAGTCTTTTATTAGTTATTATTATGAACTATAAATAGGGCTTATTATGCTTAGGGTTAGGGCATGCTATGAGATTATTGTCTTGAGTTTTAGGGTTAAGGTTTGGGAGAGGTTGCCTACCTCTTGAATTGTAGATGCTTATCTTTTATGTATTCAGATTTTGTTGTTTTGTGCTATTAAAGAAAAGATTTGTTTGCTCTAATTTATGAGGAAAACTCATCCGGTTTGTGTCAGCCTTCTAGCTAGTGACAAAGTCAATAGTTTATGCTTCTCCAACTTTTTTTTGCCTGATTAATCCAAATAGTAACTGGCATGGGAGCTTTCCCGGGTCGCAGCAGTGTAGCTGCTACAATGTCGGGGATGGGGTTTTGTAGCTGCTACAGTACTGTGGTCCAACCCTTCTGCCCTTTACTTTTTTATTTCTCTCCTTCCCTGTTTTTTTATGATTCTCTTATTTTATTTCTTACCTATTATAGGCTTGCCTTTTTTATTTCTTCCTTTCCCAATCATTACCTATTATATTTACAAATTACCATTATATATATGTTTTGTTGAGTGCTTTAGGGTGCAGATTTGGATGGGTGCAGATTTTTGAGTGTTGCCTTTGAGGCGCTCTTCCCCTCCGGAGGTTGTACACAATGACGAGAAGATACTTCGGCTGTAACTCGTTTGAGGTGGTGACCGTCTCCAGGTGGTGCTATGGCTATAGGTCAACAACGACGAGACATTTATCCTTCTGCAGCCCCTCTGACCCCACTTCCAGAACCGCAAACTATCTTCTCTACTGTCGTCCTGGCCTCCATCCTTCTTCTTGCTGCCTCCCAGGCATCTGTCATCTTCTCTTCTATCGCTAAAACCTTTTCTGACCATCCCTTGCTACTGACATCCCCTTCCGGGTCTGTCCCTGCTGTTGTCCAGCGATCGACACCTATCCCCGCTGATGTCCAACTCCCTTGGACTTCGGTGCCTGCTGCAGTCCATACCCCGCCATCGGTCTACTGTTTCCCCAGGCCACCGCAACTCCCTTCTGCCACCCTTAAGCAGTCGCCAACCCGTTTCTAGCCACCACGCTGGTTACCCAATTCTTCCCCGCCGACGTCCAGTTGTTGTACAGTCCACCGCAAGCACCTTTCTACTGCTATCCGGTCCACTGCCGTACCTCACGCCACATTCCCCTTGGTGGACACCAATGCTTGTTGCAGTCCAGACCCCGCCATCGGTCTACTACTGCCTCAGGAGACCGCAACTTCCTCCCGCCACCCTCCAGCAGTCGCCAACCCTTTCCAACCACCACCCCGACCACCCGATTCTTCCCCGCCGCCGCTTAGTTGTTGTTCATTCCACCGCAAGCACCTTACTACTGCTATCCGGTCCACCGTTGTACCTCATCCCCCCTGGTGGACACCGGTGCCTGCTGCAGTCCAGACCCCGCCATCGGTCTACTATTGCCCCAGGCCACCGCAACTCCCTCCTGCCACCCTCCAACAGTCGCCAACCCTTTTCCAACCACCACCTCGTCCACCCGATTCTTCCCCGCCGCCGTCCAGTTGTTGTTCATTCCATTGCAAGCACCTTCTTATTGCTATCCGGTCCACCACTGGACTATAAATAGGGCTTATTATGCTTAGGGCTAGGGCATGCTATGAGATTATTGTCTTGAGTCTTAGGGTTAAGGTTTGGGAAAGATTGTCTGTCTCTTGAATTGTAGGTGCTTATCTTTTATGTATTCAGATTTTGTTATTTTGTGTTATTAAAGAAAAGATTTGTTTGCTCTAATTTATGAGGAAAACTCATCCGGTTTTTGTCAGCCTTCTAGCATAGTGAAAAAAGTTATGCCTCTCCAACTTTTTTTTGCTTGATTAATCCAAATTATAACTGACATGGGAGCTTCCCCGGGTCGCAGCACTGTAGCTGCTACAGTGTCGGGGATGCGATACAGTACTACGGTCCAACCCTTCTGCCCTTTACTTTTTTGTTTCCCTCTGCTTTTTTCATGATTCTCTTATCTTATTTCCTACCTATTCTATGTCTGCCTTTTTTATTTCTTTCCTTTCCCAATCATTACCTATTATATTTACAAATTACCATTATATATATGTTTTGTTGAGTGCTTTAGGGTGCAGATTTGGATGAGTGCATATTTTTGAGTGTTGCCTTTATGGCGTTCTTCCCCTCCGGAGGATGTACCCAATGACGATAATGTGCTTCGGCTGTAACTCGTCTGAGGTGATGATTGTCTCCAAGTGCCCGGGTGATGCTATAGCTGTAGATCAACTACGACGAGACATTTATCCTTCTGCAGCCCCTCTGACCCTACTTCTAGCAACGACAAACTATCTTCTCTGCTGCCGTCCTGGCCTCCGTCCTTCTTGTTGCTTCCCAGGCATCTGACATCTTCCCTGCTATCGCAACTCCCTCCTGCCACCCTCCAGCAGTCGTCAACCCTTTTCCAACCATCGCCCCTGCCACCCGATTCTTCCCCGCCGCCGTCCAGTTATTGTTCATTCTACCGCAAGCACCTTTCTATTGCTATCCGGTCCACAGTTGTACCCAGGCCAACTACCACCCTGCCATCGGTCTACTATTGCCCTAGGCCACCGCAACTCCCTCCTGCCACCCTTCAACAGTCGCTAACCCTTTTCCAACCACCACCCCAGCCACCCGATTCTTCCCCTCCGCCGTCCAGTTATTGTTCATTCCACTGCAAGCACCTTCCTATTGCTATCCAGTCCATAGATGTACCTCAACCCCACCCCCCCCTCCCCCTTGGTGGACACCGGTGCCTGCTGCAGTCCAGACCCCTCCATCGGTCTACTATTGCCCCAGGCCACCGCAACTCCCTCTTGCTACCCTCTAGCACTCGCCAACCATTTTCCAACCACCACCCTAGCCACCTGATTCTTCCCCGTCGCCGTCCAGTTGTTGTTCATTCCACCGCAAGCACCTTCCTACTGCTATCCGGTCCACCCCCCTCCCTCTTGGTGGACACCGGTGCGTGCTGCAGTCCTGCCCCCACCCCTCCTCCCCCCTGGTGGACACTGGTGCCTGCTGCAGTCCAGACCCCGCCATCGGTCTACTATTGCCCCAGGCCACCGCCACTCCCTCCTGCCACCCTCCAACAGTCGTCAAACTTTTTCCAACCACCACCCCGACCAACCAATTCTTCCCCACCACCCTGATCACCTGATTCTTCCCCGCCATCGTCCAGTTGTTGTTCATTCCACCGCAAGCACCTTCCTACTGCTATGTGGTCCAACCTCCCCCCTCCCCCCTCCCTTCTGGTGGACACCGGTGCGTGCTGCAGTACAGACCCCCATCCCTCCTCCCCTCTGGTGGACACGGGTGCCTGCTGCAGTCCAGACCCCGCCATCGGTCTACTATTGCCCCAGGCCACCGCTACCGGCCACCACAACTCCCTCCTGCCACCCTCCAGCAGTCGCCAACCCTCTTACAATCACCAACCCGACCACCCGATTCTTTCCCACCAATGTCCAGTTGTTGTTCATTCCACCGCAAGAATCTTCCTACTGCTATCCGGTCCACCCCCTCCCTCTTGGTGGACACTGGTGCCTGCTGCAGTCCAGACCCCCATCCCTCTTCCCCCCTGGTGGACACTGGTGCCTGCTGCAGTCCAGCATCGCCATCGGTCTACTATTGCCCCAGGCCACCACAACTCCGTCTTGCCACCCTCCAGTAGTCGCCAACCCTTTTACAACCACCACCCCGACCACCCGATTCTTCCTCACCGCCATCCAGTTGTTGTTCATTCCACCGCAAGCACCTTCTTATTGCTATCCGGTCCACCCCCCTTCTCCCCTCTGGTGGACACCAGTGCCTGCTGCAGTCCAGACCACACCATCGGTCTATTATATTCCCAGGCCACCTGCCACCCTCCAACAGCCGTCAACCCTTTTCACCGCAAGCACCTTCGGTTTGCTGCAGTTGTTGTTCATTCCATCGCAAGCACCTTCCTACTGCTATCTGGTCCACCATTGTGCCTCATCCCACCCCCCCTCCCCTTTCCCTCTGGCGGACACCAGTGCCTCCTGCAGTCCAGACCCCGGTCTACTACTGCCCCAAGCCTCCGTCTATTATTGCCCCAGGCCACCGCAACTCGCTCCTGCCACCCTCCAGCAGTCACCAACCATTTTACAACCACCACCCCGACCACCCGATTCTTCCCCACCGTCGTCCGATTGTTGTTAATTCCACCGCAAGCACCTTCCTACTGCTATCCGCTCCACCCCCCTCCTTCCCCCTGGTGGATACCGGTGCCTGCTGCAGTCCAGACCCCACCATCGGTCTACTATATTCCAGGCCACTTGCCACTCTCCAGCAGTCGTCAACCCTTTTCCAACCACCACCCCGGCCACCCGATTCTTCCCCGCTGCCGTCTAGTCATTGTTAGGCCACTGCAACTCCCTCCTACCACCCTCCATCAGTCGCCAACCCTTTTCCAACCACCACCCTATTCTTCCCCACCGCCATCTAGTTGTTGTTCATTCCACCGCAAGTACCTTCCTACTATCATCCGATCCACAGCTGTGCCTCATCCCCCCCTCTACCCCTGGTGGACACCGATGCCTGCTGTAGTCCAGACTCCGCCATTGGTCTACTACTGCCCCAGGCCGCCGCAACTTCCTCCTGCCACCCTCCAGCAGTCACCAACCCTTTTCTAACCACCACCCTTACCTCCCGATTCTTTCATGCCGTCGTCCAGTTGTTGTTCATTCCACCGCAAGCACCTTCCTATTGCTATCTGGTCCATCGCTGTACCTCATCCCCCCTGGTGGACATCAGTGCCTGTTGCAGTCCAGACCCCGCCATTTGTCTATTATTGCCCTAGGCCACCGCAACTCTCTCCTGCCACCCTCCAGCAGTCGCCAACGCTTTTCCAACCACCACTCCGACCACCCAATTCTTCCCCGCCGCCGTCCAGTTACTGTTCATTCCACCGCAAGCACCTTCCTACTGCTATCCGGTCCTCCCCCCTCCTCTCCCTTAGTTGACACCAGTGCCTGCTGTAGTCCAAACCCCGCCATCGGTCTACTATTGCCCCAGGCCACCTCAACTCCCTCCTGCCACCCCCTAGCTGTCGCCAACCGTTTTCCAACCACCATCCCGACCACCCTATTCTTCCCCACCGCCATCCAGTTGTTGTTCATTCCACTGCAAGCACCTTCCTACTGCTATCCGGTCCATCGTTGTACCTCATCCCCCCCCCTCCGCTCTGGTGTACACTGGTGCCTGCTGCAATCCAGACCCCACCATCGGTCTACTACTGCCCCAGGCCACCGCAACATCCTCCTGCCACCCTCCAGCAGTCGCCAACCTTTTTCCAACCACCACCCTGACCACCCAATTCTTCCCCGCCGTCGTCGAGTTGTTGTTCATTCCACCGTAAGCACCTCCCCCCTTCCCTCTGGTGGACACCGGTGCCTGCTGCAGTCCAGACCCCGCCATCTGTCTACTACTGCCCCAGGCCACCGCAGCTTCCTCTTGCCACCCTCCAGCAGTCGCCAACCCTTTTCCAACTACCACCCTGACCACCCGATTCTTCCCGGCCATCGTCCAGTTGTTGTTCATTCCACCGCAAGCACCTTCCTACTGCTATCTGGTCCACCATTGTGCCTCATCCCACCCCCCCTCCCCTTTCCCTCTGGCGGACACCAGTGCCTCCTGCAGTCCAGACCCCGGTCTACTACTGCCCCAAGCCACCGCAACTCTCTCCTACCACACTCCAGCAGTCGTCAACCCTTTTCCAACCACCACCCTGACCTCCCGATTTTTTCCCGCCGTCGTCCAGTTGTTCATTCCACCGCAAGCATCTTCCTACTGCTATCCGGTCCATCGCTGTACCTCACCCCCCATCCCCCCCCCCTGCTACCGGTTTCTTCCTAGATGGTCGTTTATGTATTTTGTGTTGCTTTATATCTTATATTTTCACAGTATCAACTTTTCATTTCCATTTTCATATTTGTTGTCGTTTATTTCATTTTCGCAAGTCTCATTTGCACATTTTCAAATTTAGTAATAGTCTCGTTTGCACATTTTTAAATTCAGTAATAATAATTATTATTTTTATGGCGGTTTGAGCTTCCTCCGGTATCATTTATTATCAAAGCTAGCTCAACCCTAGTTCTATCCTAGGGTCCCTAGCATCTGCCCCTACCCAAGCCATTGACAAATAAGGTCGAAGCTCCCCCAACCCCGGTAGATTGATGCAGGAGCTTCTCCGGATCGCGGTGCTGTAGCTATTGTAGTGTCGCAGACGCGGTATTGTAGCTGTTGTGGTACCTTGGTCCAACCATTCTCTCCTTTTCTTTTTCATTTCCCTCCCTCTTCCCTTCCTTTTCCATGATTCTCCTATTTTATTTCTTACCAATTCTATGCCTTTTCTATTTCATTCCTTTTCCAAGCATTACCTATTATATTTACAAATTCCATATATATATATATTGTTGAATGCTTTAGGGTTCAGTTGTTGAAGTTGAGCGCTCCAAGCATCCCCATTGTCGACAAGGATCGCTACTGCTGTCGTCGTCTGATTCCATTGACGACGGCGCTTTCTCTCATAGTCGTCTCCCATAGCCGATGACATCGCGGCTGTTTCCTCGCTCGCTCCTGACGAACAGAGCCCGACAACGCCCGGTTTGCTTGCTTCTTTGCAGCCCGCCAAATTGTTTCTCTCCTGACTGTGACCATCTTGTCAGGGAGATGGCCTCGATGCTTCGTCCTATGCAAATGCCCTTGCCAACGACTTGCTCTTTTCTGCTAGTGCCCCTCCTCCAGGTTCAGAGCCTGGTTTTGCTATCGATAAGTCCTGCAATGTTCCACAATCGTTTCACGAGGCTCTTGAAGGTGGAGGTGATCACACTTTTATTAAAAAACTTGGAAAAAAAAGAAAACCTGCACTTATTCTCACAGAGGATGAAACCAGTACTCTCGCGTCCTCTTGGCATTTTTTTGGCATTTTGCCCTTGTGGGAAAATTCTTTTATGGTCACAGAAAATTGGAGATCATTAGGAAAGAGTTTGATACTATGAATCTATTGGTCAGTTGGCACATTGACCTACTTGACGGTCGACATATACTTATTCAGCTATCTCACGATGCCGATTACACTTGCATTTTCTCTCGAAAAGCTATCAAGATCGACAATCGTTTTATGAAAATTATGAAGTAGACAATCGGTTTTGATCCAAAAGTGGAGTCCCCTATCATTCCAGATTGGATAAAGTTTTCGGGGTTAAAATTACATATGTTCAACATAGAAATCCTCTACTCTTTAGCAACTGCTTACGGTAAGTCTCTCAAGGTGGATAGTCCTACGATTGCTGTCACCAGACCTTCTGTGGCTTGTGTATTAGTTGAGAGAGATATCACTCAACCAACTCCGGATGAGATATGGATTGACACTATTTACAACGGGTATTGACAAAATGTTGAAATAGAACTACATCCTCCTTATTGCTCACATTGTAGTATGTTTGACCACAGTTCAAATATTTGCTATCGCTTGCATCCTCATCTAAGGCCAAATATCACTAAAGATCAGCCATTTACCATCCTTGCTGAGAAGGTGCAATCCAATCCTCCTTCCAACATCGCTGTTTCAGATGAAGAACACCTTACTATAGGTACAGATCCAAATGTGCTGATACCATTTACCGTTATTGAAGAAGTCTCACTTACATGCCAAGACACGAGAGTGCTCTTTCGACCTGAAAGAAGATCAGTTGGTATAACAAGTAGTTGCCTCTAATGTTCAACAACCTACACATATTCTGTACACTCCAGACCATTTTGCTGATCAGGTGAGCCAATCCTCGGATAAGGAATGATAGGTCTACACGAGGAGGAAGAAGAAGAACGGAGGACGAGTTGAGCTAGATAATCTATTGGATGATACATTTGTTACTATTGGCAATGACACTCATTTGACTAATTTATTAGCTGACTTCTTCTCTAGAACTTGAGGCAAAGGCAAGACAAAATTGGTCGCACTCCAACTACCTGATACTCTTATTTTGGCACTTTTTAGTTTTTATTTTTTTAGATCTCTTATGTATTGGTTGTATTTTCTCTTTTTTGAAATCATTTGATATGGTGGTTTTTGTGTGGGCTGAGTGCCATTTTTTGGATCTCTCACAAAATCTATCTGTACCCTACTTTTTATTTAATATGTTAGCCTTTGGACTTTCAATATATATATATATATATATATATATGTTGAGTGCTTTAGGGTTCAGATTTGGATGAGTGTAGATTTTTTAGTTCTGCCTTTAAGACATTGTTCTAGATCTACCGTTCTCTTCCAGATTGTCGTTTATGCATTGTGTTGCTTTATATTTTTGCAGTGTCGTCTTGTCCTTTCCGTTTTTATGTTTGTTGTCATTAATTCATGTTCGCAATGGTTTCGTTTGTACTCTTTTGAATTCAGTAATAGTAATTTTTATTTTCATGGTGGTTTGGGCTTCTTCCGGTATCAATAACTTGTTCCACATATGGAAGAAAGACAAGTTAGATTTCATTGTTGTTTTGTGAGGGTGTTGTTCTTTGTTTGCTGAAGAATACTTCATTATTATTCTTCTCTAAAGAATTAGAAGGAGCTTGTTCCTTGAAGACTTAAAAGTCCTTTCTTGTTGCAAGAATTGGAAAAAAGTGTAAAAGAGTTGACATAGACATGCTGATTTGTTGTACCTTGCAGCTTCCTCTTTAATAATCTTCATGGGCTGTTTATCAAGCAATTCAAATAACTCTCCTCCAGAACAAAAGTCTGTTATCAAACAAACGTGTGTTGTTGTCTGAGAAATAAAAGTACAATTAGTATATTTCATATGAGCAAGATATCCTTAATAACAAATAATGGCTCCAATACCAGAGTAAAAGCTTTGTGAAAAAAAAAAAAATAAAGATTTCTAAGTAATTCCTTGCTATCTTTCTTTCAATATCAATTTATACTTGTTATGGAAGAACTTAGGACGGGGCTCACAGCTAACATTGTTTGTTCATTTACAGTGTCAGCGTGCTTGTGATTTATTACATTTTTTCGCTTGTTGAAATGTAATTTCATCAAATACCATTAGTTACAATTTTTTAGTGACAGCTTGCATTTGTTGATATATTTTTTTTTCAAATTCTGCTTCTATTAGTTTTGATAAATTTAAATTTGCCCTTTAATTTTATACATATGGTGTATTTTTCATGATATGAGAAATTAGGTAATAATTTAGTCAACCTGAAAAGAAGCGTATAATGTTGGAAGGAAGGGATGGTCCAGCAATGAGTAAATCTCCCTTTCAATACATGCTCGATGTACCTGTAGAAGCGGCATTGTAATTGAGTAACATGATCATAGATTCCTGTGCCGACAAGTATATAAAGGAAATTGGTCCATCAAGAGAAAAGAGGGCCAGTGGTGTGTTGAATCTTTTTTTGCTAGAAGATTTAAAATTTACTTGAAAATGTGCTACCATTTTGTGTAACTGCTACAGTGACGTTTGGAAGCCAATAAGCGGGATATTACTAGTCAAAATATTTTAGCATCAGTTGACAGAAATTTTAGCATAAAACCTTATTGCGGTTCATCATAACTACTTTATCCATTGCCTTCATAGCAAAAAGTTCACTTGTGCCTTCCAGTTCCACTAAATGTACGCTGCAACAAACAACAAAAATAATTTTTTTAATTCACATGCTGGTATAAAACTGCAACAACTTTATTGTAAATATATTTAAATGGTTGCATTTGAATATTTAAACTGAATGATTTAATATCAAATTTTTTTGCTGTGGTTAGATGTTTGTTAATTACATTCTCTTCTAGCAATTTAACATAAGTTATAATTTTGTTGCTAACTAATACTATGTAATTTATATGCAAATTTTTATTCAACATGCAATATGAACATTGGAAGTCGGTGGAAATATGATTTGTGTAACAACTCTAGTAGTTGAGATTTGTTTAATGATGAGGATAAATGCAAACTTTGAAATAGGAATGCTCAATGAAGTGTAGCCACATTCTATGCTTACAATATATTTTGATTGTCTACGGATACAAACACACACACACGCATGCGATTAAATTGAAAGACATTTTTCATCTTAGTAGTTTGATTATTTTCTTTTAGTATAATTTTAGTTTTTGGCTTTTTTTTTTTTGGCAAAGTATACTGGCAAAGTATACTGATGATTTTTTTATACTGATGATTTTTTCTGCTATGAGAGTTGTATGCATTATCTAATTTTCCCATTGGAAGTATTGTTGATTTATGTGCTGAAGTTACCATTGTAGTTGTATTGATATTTGGAAGCATAAAATTGGTTCAATCCTTGTGGTTGTTTCTGTTTGAAGTTTTTGTTGGAAGTATATAACTGTTTGCTTTGAATGTTTCAGAATTTAGAGTTCCATCAATATTGCAATTATTTCACTGATATGGACTAATGGTGAAAGATAAGACGGGATTTCAACGGTTTGGTTGCAGATTCCACCAGCTTACACATCTACCAAACATTTGTATTGGTATCTTGAAAACACAGCAAGAAGAATGGTATGTTACAAAGAATTATGAGTAAGAGAATTTTTTGAACATAAATTTATATGAAATTTGTGATCATATAATATATTTTAAAGAGATAAGATCTTATAGAGGGATATGAAGCCTCTACGAAATAGAAGGGAGAGGGAATCATCACCAACAAGAACAGGTGGGGGAGAGGATATGTGAAAGGGGGAAATTAGGTGACGATTACCTTCCATATGTGAATAGACACCATTGTTCAAAATTCAGGGGTGCCAGAAGTAGTTATATTGGTACTGAAAACGGAAATGACATGTTTGTTCAAAACTATTGAATAAGATGATCATAATCTTCCTAAGAATAGAGACCAATCCAAAAGTAGATAGAGTTGTGAGTGATGTGGGAGACCTTTAAAATTCTAATTCAACCTAATTTGAACTAAATTCAATGAGTTTAGCCATGCCAAATCAAGGTTAATAGATTCTGCAATCTTAAAATTGGTATGGGAACCTATGTTATCAAGATGGAACCTTAATATATACTAAATAAGTCCAAAGTATGAAAGATTAGGCATGAGTTTACACCAAAAAAAACAGAGGCAAAGAAGCTAAAAATTGGAGGTTTTTTCAGATTTTGGATTTAGTCAAAATCAACTCTACAATTCAAGCACCGAAGGAGCATTTTTGGCCACTATTCAAAAGTTTTGTATAAGTCAAAACTAAATTCAAAATTCAAGCCACTAAAAGAGGACTTTTGACTACTATTCAAGGAGATTCTGGATTAGTCAAAATTAAATATGAATCAAGTCATGCATGGAAGATTCAACCACATGACAATGGCGAGAGAAAAAAGGCTATAGCAAACACAAACTCCAAGGAATTAAGAAATATGCCACTTTGAACTAACACCGATTTCTCTCTACCGTCTTTGACCACTACTTATGAGGGAAATTCTGTGCAATATTTTGTTATTCTATTGAAGGTAATTTTCTTTTACTTATCAAATAAATTTGAGAATTATTTAGTTGATGATTCATTTTATCAAATGGTTTATCCAAATAGATAGAATTGTGTTTTAATGTAATTTTCTTATTATATTTATTAAGTATTTAGTTGGCTATAAATATATCTTATAACTTGGCTTTAAAATTAATTGAGTATAATTGAATTCATTGGCCTTAGTCTTTTCTCTATTTTTACCATCTCTCTCCTTTATTTATCTAATGTTTAGTGATGGAGTGATAATTGTATTTGACCCAACATCATTTGGAGTAATGATTTGTGTAGTTGCAATAAGAGCACGGAAAATAGGCTTTTCCCTCATAGCCAAGAGCATTGTCATTTTGACCACCGGCCACCCCATTGCAAGGGCAAATTGGTCAGAAATAGGTTGAGGAGGCAAGCACTTAATGATTTAAAGAGTGAGAGAGCATTGTCAATGTGGGAATAATGGAGTTGTTCATCATTTGAGATTGAACATGGAGGGAGTAATGAAGTTTGTTGAGAAATTTAGCAACAAAAAATGCCTCTCTCAATTTTTACTGGTGATTGGATTGATGATAAATGGCCCATGCTAATATTCTTGGGTAGATAAATTATGTTGTTAAAGAGAAAAGATTTTAGAATATAAGATTTATACATAGTAAATATTATTCTTTAGGATCTAAGTGGAGCAAAGAAAATCTCAACTTTTCAATGTCAAAAAATATGATAGTTGCAATTGATGATTCAGATAACTTGTAACCAGGTGAGGATAACATAACAGGAAGCTTTTGATTTAGAAATTTGATAATTTTATTATGAGTTAGTAGAGACACATCAAAATGTTAAATTTTGTCATGAGAACCAATAAGAAAAATAAGCTTTTGACCAATTTATCTAATACTCGGTACCATTAAATTTGATGGTGGTATCAACTGTGGATGAGAGTTTTATCTCAATAATAAAGCTAAGGAATCGTGAGGAGAGAGGCACTGAGAATCTAAGAGAAACTTAAATCATGAGGATGAGTGAATGCTAGAAAGATAAGAGACCGTATTATTTTGTTGTTGGAAGTAACCTTAAAGCCAAATATACATCACTTTTGTGCTCTCCTTATACTCTGATGTCTCTAGCTGTGTTTGCATTGATGAGAAGGCCTAGTGATTGTCTCTAGCTGTGTTTACATTGATGGAAGTAACCTTGAAGCCAAATTATACATCACTATTGTGTTCTCCTTATACTCTGATGTCTCTAGCTGTGTTTGCATTGATGAGATTGATGAGAAGGCCTAGTTCTCTAGCTGTGTTTGCATTGATGAGAAGGCCTAGTTTCAATGCCTGGATAGAAACATGTCACTAGAGGGTGTGTTGCTAGGGTGTGCGTGGTAGCAAGAATAGGTTGATAGTTAGTGTACCGACGAGGCAATGTTGTTATAGTAAGCACTGGCTAGGACATTAGCAAAGCGAGGATGCAGTAGCTAGTGAACATAGGCACCTCTCCATGCGAACAACACAATAGCGAGGGTGTGTAACCAGGATAATAAGTGGTATGAGTGGTTGTGATGAGAGGGAGAAAAATGCCCACGGGGTGAGAGTTGGGCTTTTAACTCAACTCTGTTACCATGTTAGAGCAAGCAATTTTTATCTTATTTATCTGAATACATTTATATATGCATACATACACACACACAAATAAATTGAACACAATAGGAAATAAAGAGGAGAATATTCTTAATTTTGAGATAATAAAAACATAAACAGAAACATTTCAACTTTTAATCAGTTAATTAGTACTTTCCTGTAATACTATTTTCCACTTGTGCTTTCCAACAGAACAATAAGTAGCAATTTTTCTAGCATATACTGAACAAGGTGTAAAAGAAACAAGAAATACCTTCCAGTATCCCCACAGCCCAAAGGTTTGATTGGCCTGAAATGCTTCAAACTGATTTGTTCGCCTTTTTCAGTTATCTACATTTGTATGCAAATGTAATTTGGCATTAAAAGATATGTGCAAGAATTGGTGATTAGCGAAAACATTTTGTGCCTCTATTCTTCTCCACTTTATTTGAAAGTTCTAAACAATTAATGTAAACAGTATGGTCATTTAGATCTTCCAATCAATGATCATGAATTTTATCTCTGTTTTGGCCTGTATAATCCTTGAAATAGTAACACCAGCCTTTTAACACTTGATAAACTCCAAAAACAATGCATTCAATACTTGAGCAGTGAATAGTAAATGCTCATAATTGGCAACAACAAATATCAAAAGTTATGAAACTTAGTTAAATGACAGGTTCAATGAATTTGAATGCTTACTATGATTTTTTTTTGTTCTGAATATGGTTGATTGGAGCATTGTCTATTATAGCATGAATGGATGTTTTGTTGTTCATTAAACTGCCACTTGCAAGGATGTTTGTTGAATTAAATGCTGTATACCTTTTTTTTTTTTTGCATAGGGAAGGTTTGCAACAATGATTAATTTCCCTCCATTCTGCCATAGAGGTTATGGGTTCAAATCTCTAAAAAATCTTCTTTGAAATAAAGGGATAAGATTTCCTATGTTAACCCCTACGGAGGACTGCTTTGATAGGAGCTTTGTGCATTGGGTAGGCTCTTTATGCACATTTGCATTCTCGGAAGTTTGCAAATGTGAATGTGTGCTTGTGCCATCATCAATGCGCTGTTATAAATAGCTCGATACAGAAATTCATAACTAGAATGTGTTTCTAGAAAGCCACACCTTTTCTATCGCTTTCCATGAAGATTTATTTTTCGTGTGAGGCTTTGGAAAAACAGGATTTGAGTGGCCTTCCCACAAGTCTTCAGGTCTCTGGAAAAATTTGAACGAGTCATCATCGATTAAGAAAACATTTTATTTGATGTGTACTTACAAACACATGGAAAAATATTACATGCGGAGTCTGGATGTATCCGGAATCTAATAGCATCGTGACACGTGGTGGGTCAGAGGGTACAAGCAATGTTCAAATTTGTACCCTCAGGGTACTAGCAGGATACAAGTTTTGTATCCTGCTTATACCCTGCTTGTTTAGGTGTGAGATATGTAAATACATTAGAATTATCTGCTATGCACATAAATTTCCTTAAATGATATCCAGTGAGGTATAATTCGTAGGACTATGAAGTGGCTTGTGTAGGTATATACTTACATTCACCTCAATGGTGGCATTTTTTTTTAATATATGAAGATTCTGTGGAACGCTGTAATTGCTTTATCCAAAGAAAAGGGTTGTAAATTTGTTGGAGATGCAAGGTATAAAAGAATTACAGTATATGCTTTTATATAGAATTTAGATGGAAATCTTCGATGTGTTTGTGAATCGTAGTGCTAATTAGTTAGGAGAAATCAGCCATTACAGACTAGTCCATCACTTTTAAGATGGCAGTTCCCACTTTTATATTGTTACATGATTCAAACCCGGTAAAAATCCTCCGTGAATAGGGGACAGTAATAGCACACTTCCTTGGTGATGTGCCTCTTGATGATTTGAATTCCAGTTTTACTACATTTGACATTTGAAACTGCTGTAGAAACTGATTTATCTTTTCTTATACCGAGTAACAAAATAAACAAATACAGCAGAATGTCTATTAATTAGATAAAGTACTTTGCAATTTGAAAAGTGTACCTTACCAAGTTGGCATCTGGAAGTTCTCTGACAGCCTCATCAACATTCTCTGCTGTGGCTTTAACCTGGTGTAGATTTGCATATTCGTCCATATATAAACAGAAAAAAACTTATTAATAGTACTCTTGATGTAATTGGCTTTTGGAGATTAGTAATTCATGTTTAAGTAGGAAGACTGTCAGACGCAAAACTTGTTGATGATGAAGTCTAGCATGCCTACATCTTACCATTTTTTCACCATAGATCTCTGTTCTCTCGGAGAGGCGATTGTGAAGGGGTTCAACATGATCACTTCCATCAAGTTGTACACCAATGAAGTATTGAAGCTCACCCTTTGTACAATAAAATTAATCAGTGATTACGGGTAGTGCTAAATCTAAAGAATGGGGACGTATTGAAGTGTTAGAAGGGGATTGTGTAATGATACCTTTTGATCTCGCATAGGTTGTAAGTGAAATAAGTTCCAAAATTTTTTCCCTGAATTTTCCAGATAGTACATTAATTGGTCAGGATATTATGCATTTTTTTCTTTTCAGAGATCTTATATTTTTTTTCCTTGGTTATTTATAGATTCTTAGATGGATGGTTAACCAAGATCTTCATTCTTTTAGTTAGATCGATGTACAAGCTAAATCTATTTATCAAAATTCTCATGATATATAATTTATGCTAAATTGATCTGGTGATCATAGTTTGCTTTCAGCAGTTTTTCTTTTGTTTAGAAATTTATCAATATTTTGGTGAATGTGTGAATCTATTTACATCAGATTTTGTAGAAGAGTATATGACTGTACCACTTTTGGTGTAATTAATAAGTTGAACAGTGAGTTCTCTTTGGTCTCTTATAGCATCTCTTATCTTTGAGACTATTGCTTGATCCGTTTCAGGTCCTTGAAGAAACCTGTAAAATCTTAAGGTCAATTCTGCCACTTATCTCAGAAGAAGATGCTCTCACGTTTATATACACATGCAGACATACATTGTATGGTAAGAAAAGTAATCAACCTTTATTCTTTGTAATTAGACTGTTCACCATTTGTGTGCTTACAGCCTACAATGCCCATTTTCTTACCACATCCTTGGTAGATGCCTTTCATCTTATTATTAGTCTCTATCTTTTAGTTCTCAGAGACATTTAAAAATTGTGCTTGTTAATTAGAGGTACTTTCTATCACTTGAGTTAGAATGCTGCTTTTTGTCCATTGGAAGAAGACTTTTGTATTTTTCAAAATTTCAATGTTGAAAATTGTGACTTTTATTTGTAAACAATGGAGGAAGATAGCATAGTTGAAATTGAAGATCGCAAGTAACAATTCTCATTGAATCATATAATTATGGAAAATTAGCATATGATGCTAAAACAATCCATTAATTATAAGAACGAAAACCAAATTTCTCATATTACCTGCAGTTTCTTCCTAGAATCTCTTCCCGACTATATTCTGTCAATTCAAGAAAGCTGTCTGATGCAAATATCTGCAAGAAAGGAAACAAAAAGAATGAGATAAACAACAAGTGACTGAAACTTATTTTAGAACTTAGTAGTTTAGGATGCAACGTGTTAACAGTAAGACTACTGTGTCTTTGGCTAATTTATCTTTGATAATAATGAAAAGTTCATATATTTAGTTATTTGGGTACTTATGTTACCAATTTATTACTAAATTATGACTCACGGAAGCCCATGTTAAGGTCCATGGCCACAAATCCCATTATACGTGTTGGTTAGTAGGGATGTTAAAAAAAGTTGAAACTTGAACTTTTATCCTACACCATTGATTTCTAGCTGATTTCAAGCTCCTCGTTTAACTTGTCTTGTTTGAGTATAATTTTAGTTCATTCAGAGAGGGAGAGAGAGAAAGAGAGAGAGACTGTCATGTGTGCGCTGTGTGGGTATTTCATTAGTAAAACAAACTTGAACTCAACTCGAAGCTTTTTTCAAGTGGAATCAAAATCAATTGATTTCGAGTAGTAATGGCTCAATAAGAATAAATTTTGATTTCCAGTGGAGATGGCTCAATAAGAATCAATTTTGATTTCGAGTTGAGTTCAAGTAGAATAGGAATCAAAATTTTTTATTTCAGGTCAAGCTAAATTCACTCAAACTGACTTATATCAACCTTATGATTAGCCTACTTTGTTTGCATGCCCAGTCAGCTTTATAACTGACAAAATGTCTTTTTTATGTGATGTTAATATATATTTTATGATTCATTTTTATGTGCAGTAGGCAATAATGACTTCATGCTATTAAATATCCTTTATTGAAAAAGAATCTTACAATGGGATTATCAGGAAGTCTTGGATCAGTGATTACAAAGTTCTTTTCAATGCGCTCCAATGTTGTAGCAAGATCTATTGCTTGTCGTATATCTTTTTCCCTTTCTACACGGTCCCAGCTCTCTGTGCGCTGTAGATCTCTTGTCATTAGGATCTCAGGCTCTATTATATTTTCAATCTTTTCTGCTGAACTTTTTCTTCTGAAGCTGCAAAATGTTGAGCATATCTGTTCTTCAAAATAAGTGGTCAATATTGCTATGAAATTTTTAGAATTTTTCTATAGTGCTAATCTATGTACTTGAAGTCTCAGTTTCAGCTATCATTAATATAAATTCTTTATTAGTTAACAGAAAATCACCATAGCATTGACCTACCTTCAAAAGGAGCTTGCTTTTGAATGTAGATCTAGCTTTAACTACTTAACTAAGAAATAAGTTTTTGTTCTTATTGGTTTAAGGCCGATGATAATGACAATGATGACTTAAAATACAAATCTTATCTGAAAAGTCATTTAATACTCTTAAGATTATTATATATATATATATATATATATGTATGTGTGTTTATGTGTGTGTGTGTGTGTTTGTGTGTGTGTGGCTCTGGGGTTTGAAACCTGATGTCATTGAGATCTTTAATCATCTCTAAGCCCAACAAAGAAAAAGAAACTTCTTTCAGGCTAGTTTAATTGCCCCCCTCCCCTCTCTTAGATCGTTACTAGCAAATGGTTCACTTTCCCCACAATGTGTCTTGGTTATCTTTTTAGCTTCATTATCAAAACAGTGGCCATTTTATTAATGACACAGGGGTTTGAAACCTGATGTCATTGAGATATTTATGTTGGATATGAAGCCTGTTCTGCCTGCCTCCCCCTCCGCATCGCGCGTCGCGCGGAACCGCGTTAGGCCTCCCGCCTCTTCTCCGCATCGTGCCTCACGCGGAACCGCGGGAGCCTCCCTGCCGACCTAAATAAGCCTTTTTTGCTTTTTATAAATAAGAAGCAATTAAGCCTGCTGACCCCATCCCAAAACCACCTCTTTTCTGCAGCAGAAGAATAGGAGCGGGGACCACCTTGATTTGGCTTCTTTCGGCTTTTGCATAAAAGAGAGCAAAAGTTCTTTGTTTTCTCCTTTTTTCTTTCACGTGGCTTGAGAGAGAGAGAAAGAAAGAAGAAGAGAGGAGGTCGAGAGAGAGGAGAAGAGAAATAGAGATTTCTTGTAAACGTCGAGGCGCTTGACAGTGTAATTCCTTGAAGTAATAAAACCCTCTGCAGCTCCATGGACGGGACGTAGACAAATTTGCTGAATCACGTAAATCTGTGTGTCGCTCTGATGTTTTTTTTTTTGCAATTTTCTCGTTCCGATTTTTTGTTTTATTGTCATCGTTTTTTCACAACACTTTACTTATCCATCTCTAAGCCCATTAAAAAAAAGAAACTTTCAGGTTAGTTTAATGGCCCCCCTCCCCTCTCTCAGATCCATCACTAGCAAATGGTAATCACTTTTTCCCCACAATGTATCTTGGTTTCCGATGCTAATTGAAGAACAGCATGATTTTGTGAGAATTGTAGTGATCATCACTGGTTGAATCAAACCTGCTATCTAAACCAGTAGCTGTTGTAATTGCTATAAACCATATTCCACAGAAAACACTTCATGCAATTTGCAGGAGCTAAAGGAAAAAAAAAGGTTGGCCTATTGAACTCTTAACACTTGCGGAGGATCAGGCTCTACTGATTATATTAAAATTCATTTTGTATAGTACATTAGCGACGATGACTCTATGGCAGCATGTTGTTGATAATGATATATGCTGCTAGGTCGAATTGAAAGCCATGTGTATAGCATATCGATTTCAAAATCACGTTTGCTACAAAATTTAGTTTTCATGAAGCTTTCTTTTAGCTTATTGGACGATTTCAGAATCACGTTTGCTTAAAAATTATTGGGTATACCACATTGTTAATTTTTAATGTGATATATTTGGATAAGTAGAATCTTGTCACTTGCTATTGTGATATGCTTGGGTTTGATGGGATGATTAGATTTGACAAGTAGTTTTTCTTGACATTTTGTTAATCATCTATTCCCTGCTAATGTTGACTCTTGATGTTTGGATGAAGGGTAACTTTTTCTGCACTGGGCCGTTTAATTCTAATTTGCATCAGCAAATACAAACTTGCTATAAAGTGCAATTACAATTTCAAAATAGTAATAACAAAAGAAAGAAAATTTTAGTATTTTCTTAAACTAGTAATAACCTTCTTTTACTCCATTAATGTGAAGAATGAAATCCCTCACCCCAGCAAGGATAAACGGCCTGATTTCCTAATGCTTGTTCTCAAAGATTCATTTTTCATGTCATGCAGAGGAGTCCATCTTCCGGGTGAATTGAAATTCTTTATCTCTGCAGCTCCTTGAAGCGGGGATTTGGTTCTTCCTTTCTCCTTATCATCGATTTTTGTGGCAGTATCAAATTCTGTAGCTTCCAAGTGAGTTCGAGGATGTCTCACTGTCTGCACAACTTCCGTATTTGAAGACATGGCCTTGTCTTTTTGTCTCTCTGGTTAAATAAAAGAACAAGTAAATGCCCTGCTTGGATTGTAGTATATAATTATTTATTTAATATTGGTCTCACCGTCATAGCGGATTAAGGACACTGGCAATGCATTAGGCCGCAATGTTTTGTCATGTAAACCTTCTGTGTATTTGCTGACCTCAACCTGCATTCTGAATACAGTATGTACGGATGTTTAGTGAAAGATAATCTTGTTTTCTCAAGGAAAAAAAATAGTAGATGGAGTGCATTAACAGTCCTATTTTATGGGAAATATTTGCATGCGGACTACACACGCAGAGTTGTTTGCGTAATAACCTCTCATTAACCTCCGCTTCACTGTTATTAGGGGGTTCTTGGGAGATTATTGAGGTATTAATTTCAATAACATATAAACCCAATAACCTTCCAATAACTTTCGTGGATTCTATTTCAATGTTATTCATAGGTTATTATGGGGGTATTGAAGGGTTAACGGAGTACGCACACAGAAGTGTGTATTCCGTATGCAAATATTTACCCTATTTTACAGCTCTAGGTTGACATTTCTAAAACTCTGCTGTTATTAGCCGCACCAAAATTATGAAAGCCGCTAAAAGTTAGACAACTAAACTTTTCAAGGCATTGAAGTACTTGGTGTGATCACATGCCAACATTTTCACACGGTCAATGGCTACATAAATATGTATGTTTGGATTTGTATTTAACCTGGCAGCCTAAGCTGCGAGATGGAAATTAGCAACTCTGATCCATTTTTACTCGACAGACTGAAATTACTAAGGGCCTTTTTGGGATCAATTTTTTTTTTTTTTTTTTGTTTTTGTTTCTTCTTTTATTTTTAAAATATATTTGTTTAGAGTGTTTTTACATGTTCTTTTTTTCTAAAAATAAATTAACATGTTTTTGAAAACACTTAGAAATAATTTTTAGTCGTTTTCAGTGTTTTTTAAAATAACCATACTTTAATTAAATCTCCAAATATGTTTTGTTTCAAATCTATACATTAAAAAAAAAAAATTAAAAAAAAAAATAAATAATCCCAAACGGCTTCTAATGTTTATAGTTTCTTTATGATGCACGGCTTACTGTTTGTTCATGTTTCATTGAACCCGATGACACTTTCTTACCCTATCATTGACTTGTAAAACTCTTCGGGAGATATTCTAACCAAAAGTAAAGTTGCACTTTGCTATTTATTATATGTGAATTATTTCTAACTATGACTAGAGTTTGTCTTTTATGTGAATCCTTTTTCATTGTTATTGAGACATTGTGAAATAGACTGTATCATGATCCCAAGCTTTCCTAAAGTTCACCGCACATTTGAAAGAAATTGATAAAGTTCCTTACCCTATGAATTTAATAACATTTCCACTTTCATCCCTTATTGGTGTTATGGTGAGAAGGTTCCAGAAAGAAGTTCCATCTTTCTTGTAGTTCAACAGCCTGCCGCAGTAGCTCTTCCCAGTTCTGAGTGCTTCTCCTATCTTTGCTACCTCTTTCTTATCTGTGTCAGGCCCCTGAAGAAACCGACTGCAACAAAAAACAACCAAAGAAAGTTAGCCTTCAAACTTAAAATATGCACTTGAAACTACTGATTTGGTTTATGGAAAATTAAAGCTAACCAGTTCCTTCCAATGACCTCTTTTACTGAATATCCAGTCATGCTGGAAAACCCGGCACTTGCATACATGATAGGGCAATCTGGCTGTCTTGCATCTGAAACAACAAAAGTCTGCTTAAGAGTGGACAATGCATCTCTTAGCTCCTGAGAAACTCTAGGTAAACTTGAATCCATGGCAGAGTTTGATTCATTTGATGTCCTCATAGTCTCTGAGAGTCTCTCCGAGGATTGTCTACCCCCCTCATTCCATGATGGGAAGGCAAAATTTTGGCTTTCAGGATCAGTGGGTTTTACTGTGAGACCCCACTCTGCTGCTCTTTGTACTATTAACTGGTTATTTCCTTTTTCTATGGACTCTTCTATCTCAGTTTGATTTGTATCTTTCTGTGAGTTTTTCACTGGAAATGCCATCCATTTCTCATGTAATTTTGATTCTGAAAGAGCTTCTGATGTTCCCTCCTCCGTATATGATAAGGGGTTCTTTATCTCAGTATTTTCTGTCATGTCTTCCAGCAAAGCCTGGTATAACCTTTCCTCTTGCAAGCTGTGATCAGTTGATATGGTACTGCAGCCGAGCAACCAAGTAAATACAGACTGAACGTTACATACAAAAACATAAAAAAAATCAATAAAAATAAATGAATAGATAAATAAATAAACTGTTTACAGGCAAGAAATTGTGTAAAATTTAGGTCTGGATTATTCTCTGTAGCACTGTATGGATATGAAGTTATATATAGTTTAACTGGAAACATGCATTTGCCGGAAAAATGGTAGACTTCGAAAAAAAAAAAAAAAATTAAAAAAATCAAAACGACATTACTGTATGTTTGGGTAATTTTTTTCTTATATGCTTGGAAGGAGGTTTTAGATTATATTGCCTCAAAGTATACAGTTGAAACTAAAAACTATCTTTAGATGGCAGATAAATAATCATCTCAGTTAAATTTCACATCACCTAATCCATTCATACGAGAAAATTTTTGTCAGTTCTAACCAATAAAAACAGATTACCACATACAAATTTCGCAGATGGAAGTCCCTTGAAATCTGTTTATTTGTCAGTCACTATCAACCAAATGAAGAAATACAAAACTATATATAAAAAACAAACTTTGGCTGCAAATCACTAAACTAGATTAATGATAAGAGAAGAATATACTATAAATGACAATTAAGTACTTGAAGATCTTCAGATTCAGCAGTTAATTTGTCTGACGCTTTCTTTCTCTGTACTTGCTTCAGAAAAAAGAGAGAAAAAGGGTTTGCGGAAGCAGGGAAGCCAAGTGAAAGAGATAAGGCGGGTGGGGCATCTAGATAAAGGCTTGAGGCTTCAACGGTCCCTGAAAGCCAATCTCCACCGTTGCTAACCCACAGATCAGCTTTTTCTAGGCTATCTCTTTCACTGTTATTAGGGGGTTCT